TGTATTAACAATTGATATTGGTGCACGACCTTGGATCCACCAATGCTCATAGATATCCTCAAGTATTAGACTTCGATTATTTTCTAGTAGTTGGATTTTATGAGCACAAGGTAGCCTCATCGTACTTGAGAAGGATCCGGTACATGGTGGTAAGGGTTCTTGTGTAGTAGCATTCTTTATTTTTTGATATTGCTCCTCTATTTTTTTAAGAGAAAAAGTAGAAACTCTGCCTTTGATATTTGCGTATAAGGAGTTACTTTGTACAAATATTGGAAACCGGATTTTTTCAGATGCGGCCATAGTGTCTACTTCTTTTTTTTGGTTTTCCACTGCTAGAGAAATTTTTATACGGACATCACGAAGATCTCCTGCTGATGTACGAAGGTACGTTTTAATGGTTGAATGTGCACCTTCGACCCGGGAAGTAACAGTTGTCCCCAAATGTAGAAATTTATTTGTCCATGCCTTTACAAATTTTTTTTTTCATGGAATCCAAGTTTCTTCGAGATAACTTATTACGTTGGGCTTATTTGTATAATTATTATGAAATTCACTCCATTTCGTGTTAAATTCTTCATTTGTTAGCGACTGAACGACCTTATTCCATTCCGAAAGAAAGGCTTGCCATTCATTACTTTCTTTGTTTCCAGTTCCTTTCACGAATTGTGGCTTACAGTTTTTCATTATATTTTTATTAATATGCCACAAGCACAACAAATGAGTTGAATTTGAAAAGGTTGTTCTGAGAGCATTCATAAGAGCTAGCTCTCTATCCGTTACTATGATGCCGGGCTGTGATATGCCGTCAAACAATTTAGTAATGCAAGTTAGTGCCCAGAGGTAATCCTCTTCTTCTTCATCTTTCATAAAGACGAAACACGAAAAAAAGGTGGTGTTGAAGCTGGTTATACCAACGACATCTAACAAAGGCATTTTAAATCTGTTCATTTTATAAGTACAATCCATAAGAAGAACAGAAGGATATCGACGAGTAAGCTTTACGGATTCGTTATGTGTAAAAAAAAGATGAGTAATATGACCTATGTTATCACATTTATATTCATACATGTAATCACCCTCTCTAAGCTCATCTATTAATGCTTTAACGGGAGAACAACCTGCTAAATTCTGTTGGCGAAGTCGTTCACATGCATTATAAATATCTTTACTTATTACTGATGCTGATGGATTATTTTGGCGAATAGTTGATATTATTTCCCTAGTGCGTGAGCCAGATGCAGTCATCTCTTTAACATTATCCAGTTGTTGCTTTGTGAGTCGACGAACCATTGGATGCCCTGATAAGTCTTCAGAGGGATCATGACTATGATTACTATTACGGATCTCTGCATGCCATAAATTCTCATACCGAGCAGCATATAACTCAAAAGGGCAATCAATTAACCGGGTACTTGTTTGCCGTTGAAGTTTTCCTGAACTGTTGTAAACTCCACCCCGGTTACAACGCAATGTCATGTTTTTTAAATTGCCATACCGATCCCTACGCGTTCTTTTTTTAATCAATACATAACCTTGAGAATTGGCGATTGATTGAACATTCTTGAAAAGTTCATCAGCACTTTCATATGTTGCTGAGGATGGTAAAAGCATATCCGTAATTGAAAAGGTTACTTTAAAAATTGTATTATAGCAGGAAAGCGTTTTATTATTTTATTCGTTTTACTTTTTTTCTGCGTTGTTTACGAAGACACTTTAATTACTTATTTTTTTGTTGATTTTTAAGTACATTTATCTGCTTATTACAAGATGCTTTACTATTTTGTATTACTAATTTATGCTTTATGGATCAGTACATTTCTAAATTGTTATCATCATAACAATCGTTTTATATATCAGCATTAATGATGCTGATGAAACCTTGATAAATGACGCAGTTTTGTTAATGATTTTATTAGAATTTCGTCAACTTGTCATTGCAAAAATAGTTTCGTCAGCATCACTAGTATTAATCATGTGCATTATAACTTGAGCAAGTGGGCCTGCATTAGTATAGTACATGCTAAAAAGGAGGCATACGCTTATAATTTTACATCAAAATACTTAAACGTTGCGGCAAGGACTATGAATACAAGGCAGAAAAGTAGAGAAAAGATAGTTTTGTTGCCAGGGCGTATTCAAGAAATATTCAGCAATTTTAATTTATGCACTTTAAAGTACATACCGAGAATGTAACGTTTCAACATCTATTATGCAGTAAACAATAGGGTTGGGCATAATCAAAAACAGAATAAACGGTGGCAATTTAAATTGGTGTGATTTTAGTTTCGTATCATTAGATCCAAGTGTGGTGAGCTACAATTTTTTTTTGGCAAAACTCATATGAATTAAAATTATAACTAGTGCTTCTAATTTTTAGCTGCCATCTTATAATTCTTCGATTGATAACCTGTAATTTAGATAATTTGAATTACTGCAGAAGTAACTATATTCCTACGTTAAAGTATCAAAAATATGTTTAAAATAGGAGATCCCGATGGAATATACATGTCTGATCACTGCTATAAAGATAGAATTGGAGTTGAAAAAAGATTATAAAGCATCCATTATTATAAAAATCCTCTAAGATGGAAATGGTAATGAAACGCATATTATTGGATACTGTTATGAAAATGGAACTTGAGTTGAAAGGATGAATGTAGGCATTCATATGCTGAAAATTTGCTAAGTAATTTTGTGTAATATGTGTATTTGAAAACTGGAATTAAGGCTGAAAAGAAGATTATAAGGCATTCACTCAACATCAAAAATATACTGAGATTGAAAACACTAATTGTTATGGGAATAGAGTTTGAGTCAAAAAAAAATGAATGCAAGACATTCATACACTATCGAAATTTAAGATAATCAAAAATTTCTCCAC